CCCCAAAACCCCAAAACCCCAAAACCCCAAAACCCCAAAACCCCAAAACCCCAAAATTTAGGCCTCTTGTTGAAAATTATTTTGAAATTATAGGCTGGATTACGAATATATAGCCAAGAGAGTAGACTGTCTTTGTCATTTTAAAACATCAGAGGTTTATTCTGATTCTTTTGCAATGAGAATCATCCTTCTTAACCCTTCTATAGAATATTTATACCTCTGAGATGGAAAGGACTTACTCTGTGGATGAATCTTCATTCTTAGGCTTGGCTGGAGCCAAGTTAAACCATATATTTTCAATGACAAGAAATTCTCGTTCCTTTTGCATAATCGAGTTGTTAATCATTAAAGTCATTTCAGGGTTGTTCTTATTGAGAATTTGGTTAATACGAGCCCCGATAAGCTTCTCTTTACTCACTCCAAACAGAATTGATGCTGATGATGAAGCCATTTGAATAATGCTTTGTGTATTTGTATAAATAAGGCATTCATTGGTGGAATTGGCCATTTTCTCAAGAACTTCATTTTTATGCATCACCTCTTTAGATTTCTCACTCTGTTGTATAAGTGTTGATAAGTACTCTGAAAGTCCGCTTATGCTATCCTTATTTTTCTCTAAAAAGGCATTTCATGAATTATAAGCATCCTTTGGTTTCATGTTATATAGCTGAAGGATTCCAATTATCTAAAGACTTAAAGTTAAAAATACCTTTTCCTCAGTAGATGATTCTATCGGAATTCCAATTGTTTGTTTAATAACATTAAGCTCAGGATAAATATTCGAAATATTCTTTTCCTCGATCTCTAGCATAGAATTCACTTCTTCAGTAGTATTTGCTGCCAGTATTTCTCCTTCTGAGAATATTTTACCAATGAATCCTCGCTTTGAATGGATCTTTACCACTCCGTGTAGGTTGGGGTCTTCTTTCCCAGAGGTAGAAGACTTACTAACCTCACTAAATTTTGAAAGATCATAGAATATTTTTATCCTGCTGTCATAGAGATATAGCACTGCTTTCTCAAACCCAAGAGTATCTTCGATAACTTTGTATAAATTATTAAAGAGTGGAGCATAAATTTGAAGGTTAGTTTTATTTAACTTCTGTTCTAGAATTGTCTCTCTTGCTTTCTCCGCTTTCATATGAGTACTCATCTCTTCTTGGAGAAGTCCATTTGCTAGTTTCTTACTTACCTTCTCAAGTAATGTAGTGTCATAATCACCAAAATTTCAGCCTTTGGTCTTATTAACAAGCTCGATGACTCCTATTGAGAAATCGGCATAGTTTATAGGGACTCAGAGATAATTTCTGATGAAGATATCTGAATTCATATCTCCTTCTTTGCTTTTGAATTTATCTAGATTGATTTATACAAACACGTACCTTCTTTTAGGTTGTTCTGGATAATATTTTTGCCATTTACGAAGGAATTCACAACATGATTTTCACTTTTTATTGAAATTTCTAGCTGTTTTAAAGCTCTTCCTGTAGTAGCTTTGGTATATAAGCATCCCTTCTCGTTATTATAGAGATATAAAGAGCATTTCTCAACCTCTCAAATCCAAGAAAGGAGTTCAACAAGCTTGGGAATCTTCTCATCTAGCTCCTTACTTTTTGAAATATTTTTGGTAAGGGAAAGTAATCCAACTGAGCTCATTATTCCATTTAGAAGTAAGAATATTGAGTTTTGCATTTGGTCTTCAAACCTATCTTTCTCAAGAGAGCTGTTTTTCATAACAAATCTTCTATAATCTGGCTTTGATAGGACTTCCTTTGCAATAACTTCAGCAAAGTCACTGTCTTGGAAATCTTCAAAGTCATTTTCTCAATCAGAAAGGGAGATCATGTACTTCTTGAGGCAACTAGAGAAGGTTAAAGATGCTCAGAAATATCCTAGAACGCTTACTTTATCATTTTCTGGTCCAAATCAGCTGTGCTTGAGGTATAAGTTGGAGGTATCTTCCTATTTTCTAGTCTCTTCAGAGATATGGCTAACTGAGAGATCCATTCTCGGTAAGTTCCTTCTAGCAAGCATGCTTGGCTTAAGCTGCTTATTTATAGCTTTTATTGAAGTCTGGTCAAACTTGTTCTCTTCATTTAGCCTTTCTTTATAAGGATGCATTGCTCCAGAATTGCTTGCAGCTTTGCGATATCTTCGCCTATTACGCTTATTTGCTTCTAAATCTAGAAGCATCTCTAATGCTGACTACTTTGGAGCCAAGTTTGGATCCTTGGAGGATTGAAGCGAGTAGTACTTGCTCCGGGTTTGTTAAATCTATCATTGGATCAGTGTTCTTCTGTACTAAAGAAATTATCTGTAAATTCACCTTGGATTGTACTAGGATTAGGAGAGGTAGCATTACTTTCAGAGTGGCTATCAAAAATGGAAGACTTCGACCTCATATGCCTTTCAATATTCTCCTCTACAATCTCCTCGATTTGATTAACAAGATCATTAACTTTAATCTTAATAGCTTCGATAGGCATCGGATTATTAAGATCATCCTTGAGTTGTAAAGCAATATCCTTGATTTCTTGGAAATCATTCTTCTGCATGATGGTTCTATTATTCAATTTAATAATAAGGTTTTGTATGATAGGACTTTCTCGATATTTTCCGCCTACAGATCGTTCTTTCTTCCTAAAGGTGTGTTTCCCTTTAACCCTATTCTTTGTCGAGAAAGATCTGATGGGAGCGTCAATATTATCCTCTACGATAATATTGTTAACGGTAATGTTGTTGTAGTTTATCTAAGGTTTAAACAAGGAATTACAAGTCATTTGTCCTTTTAATTGAATTATATTTCATATTCTCTATTGCTCCGATCTTGTTTATGTGAGGTAATGAATAGTTCAATGCCTGATTCCCTACATTCTCGTAGATTATCTCTTGAGATGTCTGATGATTTCCTTCTGTAAACGTCGGGTTATAAATTTTTGAAGACTCTGGAAAGCTAGGGGTATCCTCCTTAACCTCTTCCAAAATCGTATCATTCAACTTCCCAGAACGATATTTCGGATCTATAAAAACCCTATAAACCCAAATTCCTTCAAGATTCTTTCAAAACACCTCTAAAACCTCCTAATCCCACTCCTAGACCTCTCATTCCTCCATTTCCATACCTTTCTTGCTAAATTTCTCCATTTATAATAAAAATTTCAAATTCTTTCCTTCCAATTGGGGTTTTGGGGTTTTGGGGTTTTGGGGTTTTGGGGTTTTGGGG